CCGGGGCAGCCTGGGGCGCGGCCCAGCCCCCCGGAGCCGCAGGTCGCTCGGCTGGGCCCGGGCTGCCCGGGGCAGCGTCCCGGGGGGAGCCCAGAAAGAGTCGCCGCACCAACCCCTGGCCCTTGGCGTTCTCTTTGTTCACCGAAGCCTTGCAGTCCCGCTTCTGGCGGTAGAAGATGAGAGAGTCCGGCCTTGGCTGCCGCCTGCCGCTGCCCCGGCGGGCCTGTCTGGGCGTCCTGGGCGATGCAGGGGCGCCCAGCTCATTGCAGGGGTGCGGGGTGAGCGGCCCGGGACCCCCACGCAGGGCTGGCTCCTGTCGCCGAGCTATCACCTGGTGCGTCTTGACATATTTGGCTTTGTCAGCCTCCAGCCTCTCCACAGCGCTGGGGGTCCGTCCCCTGGCCGGCGTGGAGGGAGAGGACAAGAGCATCTTAGCAGAGCTGGGCAGGACAGTGCCCCATAAGCCGCTGGAGGTATGTAGCTAGCCGGTGAGGCAAGAGCAATTGGTTTAGCTCCTTAAGGCCTGCAAGGAGAAAGGGATGGTTAGGGAGAGGGAGATGGTAGATGGTAGATGTCCCTGTTCCTTTCCTGCAGATATTCCTTTTCCATTCAAGGCAGCAGGTGCTGTGTTCAGGGAGCAGAGGCTCAGGTCATCCCTCTCCCCCATCCTTCAGAGACGTTGGGTGAGGGCTCCCAGAAACATATGCCCCTTTGAGGGTGCCCCAGTCTGGCCACAGGGCCATGCACGCGGGCACCAGCAAGCAGGACACTTGGAAAGGAAATGGGACTGGTCCCAGCCCAGTTCCCGAAAGTGGCCTTAACCGGAAAAAATACCTCTTCCCAACCCAGCAGCTTTGAGTCCAACACAAGGAGGCTCCCAGCCACAGACTGGCTCCAGCAGGGCCCACCCTTCCCACCCCCAAATGCCAAGGTCAGGGACATAACCACAGGGTAGGAGCCTCCAGTAATTGCAGCCAACTGCCCTGCCCAGGCCCAGCAGGGCCATCCGGGAAGGAGTGGGAGGTGGTCCCTAGGCCATGTCAGTCAGCTACCACAGCCAGTCTCTACCCCTGCCAAGGGGATCCCAGAACGCCAACTGTAAACATCACCTTGTCTAACCTCCCCATTTGCTTTCATAGAGGAAGAAACTGGCCTAGAGAAGAGCGGGGCTTGCTCAGGTCCTAAGAGTTAAGGAGTGGATTGGAACCCGTGCCTCTTGCCTGGCAGTCCCGAACTAGTTCAGACTGGACTCTCGCTTGCCTAACAAATCTTCTGTCTGATATTTTGCTACAATTCCTGCTGCTGTCAAACCAAGCAATTTCTGTTAGAAACATACGGGCCCCTTGCCTCACTAAAAAGTTCCTTCCACTAATTCTTCCCAATAACCTGCACACCCTGAAGCCTGCCCTCAGGGTTCTTGCCCTCTTATCATCCTGAGATCTCATGACCCTTCTCTACCTCCCTTCTGCTGGGGAAAGGGCAAGGAGGGGTTGTAAATCAAGAGCTGACAGTTGCTTTGGCAGTAACAGAATGGGCCACCCACATGGCCCTGCACACCCACCCCTACCCTGTCTCTGCTTACTCCCCCCAAATTCTGGGGGCCGAGGGACCTTGGATCCAGAGGTAGCAAAGAGACAGAACCAGTCAGGGTTGGGACTGGAGGCCCGTGAGAAGCCTTGGGGCTGAGACCCTGTCAACCCCAGCCCACTCCTATTCCCACATATAGTGTATAGTAAGTCTGCCTGTGGGGTGCTGGAGGACTGGGAACTCAGGCAGCAAGGAGAGCCTGGCAGTGCCCTCCTGTCTCCCAGGGACTATACTGGGCAGTGGGTCAGATTCCAAGGTCCTAGAAGGGCGCTGTGTTTATCTGACCTCATGGGTGTCCTCTCCCCTCATCTTTATCGCCGCCCTGAGCAGGGAGACTATAAAAAGCCCCTAAACACATGGACCGAAATAGGCCACTGCCTCTGCCCTGCCTTCTGGACTGGCTTTGAGGCTGACCTCAGACATCAGCCGTCCCTGGGCCCTCCGTTCCTTTGCCCACCTTTGCCCGTTCCTGAAGTTAGCGGTCCCAGCTCTGCCCAAGGCTTCGGCTCTGGGCATGGGCCATTTTGTAGGCTCAAGGGCTCAGCTGGGCACCAGACTCTTTGCCCTCGAGCCCCTGGACCCCCTCCCACCCCAGCCCTGAACTCAGGATGCACTCACCTCCACGTGGGGAGGCCAAATTGCAGGGATCCCTGGGCAGGTCCAGACTGAGGGCAGGAGGGACAGCAGGGACTAGAAGTAACTTTGGTGGCAGCCAAACCTCACTCTCCACAGGAAAAGCTGAGAGCGCCTCCACCTCCCCAGATTAACCCTTGCCTTCCTGACCCAGAGCCTGGCCTCCATTAACTCCTTCCTGGTCACACTCTCAGCTCTGAGAGGACCTGTAGAACCCGGTCCAACTTCTTTATTTAACAGATGGTCAAACAGGTCCTGCCAGGTTAAGTGATTTGCCATGGAGGCACTGCAAGCTTGGGGCAGAACCAGGACCCCACATAAGACCTCCTGACCCCCAGGTTTCCTCCAAAGTCCTGGGATAGGGGTGCTCTTCTTGTGGGGTCAGTCCCTTCCCTGGGCTGTGGCAGATGCACTGACAGTCTAAGTGGGAAGACAGAGCAGCATTTTAGTTGACTTTTTTCCCTCTGGTGCAGGTTTAGACCTGTCCTGGTCTGGGTGTTGGTGGTGTCAAGCCTGCTTTCCTCATGGGTGAGGCCAGGAATCTGCAGCCTGAGGGTGGGGGCACGGGTGCTGCAGATGTGTGGGTGAGCTTGTCCCAGCAAGTCTGAAGATCACTCAGGAGCCCATTGGAGGTGCCTCTGCCCAAGTCCTCTGATGACAAATGGGATTGGCTGGGAAGGGGATGATGAGGGGATGATTTGGGGCCAAGCCTAAGTTTTTTGGCCTCTTCCTCCTCTGCCCCCACTTGGGGACTCCTAGAGCAGACCAGGTTTCTTCTCCGACACCTCATGTCTCAGCCCTGCCTCACAGGAAAGCTCCAGCCCTCTCCCCAGCAGGTAAACTCTCCAGCCCAGAGTTCAAGACCTGTGTCTCTGCCCAGTGACTGCCCCTTTGCTGGCTACTTTCTCCAAGCTCCTCCCCCTCCCTTCTAGCACTGTTTAATGTTTGCAAAGCAAGTTCCCATCTGTGCTCTCTGATCTCCTTTGACTGGCCCCCCCACCTCCCACCAGGGACCCTAGACAGGGGCTCAGCAGGGATGGCCTGCCTCATTTAGTGAGTAAGGAAAGAGGAGCAGAGAAAGGGAGGAGTGCCCAAAGCCTAACTCCAAATCCACTTTTCCCAGGAACCCTCTCCTGTCAAGGAAGTCATGGTGCTGAAAACCCAAGGTCCATCTCCTCCTGATCAGGGGTTTTTACTACCTAGTTAAAGGGAGGGATGTTACGACTTTGTTTTGTTTTTGCATGTGATAGTTCCATATTGTGTTGTTACAGCACCTTAACAAAATGCTTTCAGCTGTATCATCACAATTAACCCCAGGACAATCTTTAGGGAGATTTTTATTATTTTCCCCATTTATAGCTGAAGAGACTGAGGCTCAGAGAGGAGAAATGATTTATCCAAGTACACACAACTAGTGTGATAGCTAAGTTTTATTGAGAGATTAAGATATACTAAGAGCTGTGCTAAATACTTCACACAAGGATTAACATATTTAGTCCTCAGAACAACCCCATGAAATGGTACTCTCATCCTCTTTATTTTACATATGAAGATTGGGGGTGCAGGCCAGTGGCCCTGAGATGGTCAGGAAGGGGTTAAGCACAGGGAGGCTGGGCAGGGCCAGCTGGGACGCTGTCAATGGCAGGAAACCTGGCCTGCCAAGGGGGGAGGATGGGGCTGTTGTGTCTGACTCTCAGCAACCCCCATCCCTTTGGTCTTAAAGGAGCATCCGGGTTGGGTGGAAGGGCAGGCAGGGGCCCCTTCACAGCTCTCTTCTAGGGATCAAGGACAGATGCTGGACTCAGAAAGGGCATTCGGGGCGGGGTGCAGTGCAGGTGCTACCCTGGGGCAGCCTGGTCCCGTGGGGCAACTCACTTCTCCACACTGGAGCCCTCAGTCAGGGTGACGCCATGTCCAATTAGTAGTTCTCAGAGAGGGGAGACCACCAGCTCTGGGAGTCCCCCATCAGAGAGATATGACACAGCTCTGCCCTCAGGACCCCCCAGTGGGTGGGGGTGAGAAATGGCTGAAGAGCCTTGCTCTCAGTAGCTCCCAGTCTGAGGGGCAACAGCACCCTGTTCCAGAATGCCAAAGGACAGAGTCCTAGGGGTGACACAGCTCTGCCCTCAGAACCCCCCAGTGGAGGGGGGGTAAGAAATGGCTGAAGAGCCTGGCTCTCAGGAGCTCTCAGTCTGAGGGGTGACAGCACCCTGTCCCAGGATGCCGAAGGATAGAGTCCTGGGAGACAAGCACAGACCCCTTACCACACAGGCAGAGCAGGTCCTGGAGGAGAAGTCCAATTGGATCAGCTCTGTGGGCAAGGGGGCCATGAAAGAGGCGGGGGGGGGGGCAGAGAATGAGAGGATGGGGTGCGCCACATCTGCCTGACCTGCCTCATCTCTCAGGCACACTTGTCAGGAACTGGATCATCTCTCTTTCTGGTCATGAGTCCCCAAGGAGGGCCTTAAAGTGGCTCTTTCCGGTCCCAAAACCAGGACCTCTGGCGAGCAGGGAGGTGGAGTCTGAGGGATGTTTCCTTCCTATTTCCGACCTCCCTTGTTTCCAGATCACCTTGAGGACTGAGATCGGGAATGGGCCTGAGTCAGAAGTCTCCTTCTAGGAGAGGGCGGTGGGAGGAAAGGGGAGCAGCCCCTGATCAGTGTTGGGAACAACGAGCAGGGTCAGGGAGGCGCTTCAATCTAGCCTCAATCCCCACACACACATTGTCACAGAAGGACCTGTGTCACCTCCCTCACCAGCCGGCAACAGCCCCCACACCTCAGCCCTGCCTTTGATTCCACTCCTGGTCTATCACTCACTGACTGTGTGACCTCAAGCAAGAACTTAACCTCCCTGAGTCTTCTGTATAAAATGGGAAAGATGAGACCTAGCTCCTGTGTGGTGTGAGGACGCGCGGGGAAGTGACGCGCGGTGAAGTGGGGGCTGAGAAAGTAGCTGGCACCTCAAGGTGCTCCAGAACCGTTTGGTGAAGCTGACTTCAGCTTTCACCCTTCACCATCATCATCCTGACACTTCTGGCCTAAACCTCTTGTCCTAATCCCACAGTCTTACTCGCAGCTGCAAATCAATAGGGACACCAGCGCTGTGTGTGGGGTCAGCAGACGGGTCGGGTGTGATTTTGCTCTTGGGTGGTGGCAGAGGCGTGCAGGACCATCACAGCCTATGAGAGACCAGTGCTGCTATAACAGAGATGCACAAAGCAGGGGGCCGTGGGGGATGATTTGTTCTGCCTGGGGTGGGGTGGGAAGCTTCAAAGAGGAGGGGGATCTGGGCCAGGCCTAGAAGGGATTTTAGATTGGGTTGGGGGTGGGGGAGAGGGAGAGAGAGAGAGCAATAGGCCAAGAGCACAGCAGGAGCCAGGGTCTCAGTGAGGGCAAGAGGCTAGGGAAGGGGTCCAGGCAGTGTGTGTGGAGGAGAGAGAGGGGGAGGGAGGGAGAAAGAGAAAAAGAGAGGGGGGGAGGGGAGGGGTAGACGTCTCAGGAAGGCTTAGAGAGAAGATGGGTGCAGAAAGGGAGGGGGTTTGTGAGGAGATAGTTCATTGAGGTAGTGGGGACTCAGAGGAAGGCTCAGAGTGAGATAGGGGGTTCCAGGCGACTCAGAGAAAAGACAGGGGCTCCAAGAAGAGGGGCTCAGAGAGGGGATTGGGGTTCCATGGGGAAGAGAGTTCAGGGAGAGGGCGGGGCCCAGCACTGGGTTTCCTTCCGGACCCCAAGGCCACAGGAAGAGCCCCCCGCAGAGATTAGAGCAGCTAACCTCTCATTCAGGAAAGAATCTCGGCCACAACAATAGCCTGGCTCCAGCGCCTGCCTCCCTTGAGGGGTGTGGCCTCTGGGCAGAGCCAGGCGCCCCCAAACCACCGCCCACTGATGGGGGAGGAGAGGGGTAATGGAGGCGAAGATGCCATTAAACTTTTCTGAGCAATTATGTGTTACCAACAAACAGCGTAAGAGGATTTCTCACAGAGCTTAGTTAGTTAGAATAACAAAACTTCACTGACTGCTTCCTATATGCCAGGCACTGGGCCAAGTGCTTCACAAGAAGTGCCTCACCTACTTCTTACAAAGCCCTGTGGGAAATGTGTGTTATTATCCCGATGTTATAGGTGAAGAAACAGAGGCACTGAGGGGTGGAGTAACGCCCGCGCCACACGGCTTGCGGATGGTAGAGCTGGGGCTCCAGAGCTGGGGCCTCAACCACTAGGTAGCACCGCTGTCTCTGCTCAGCTTAGGAAGGGCAAGCGTGAGTCTGTTCTCACTACCTGCTGGCCTCCCTGCCTGACTTGCTCTGTCAGTTTGGCCAAATGTCCGACGGCAGGCCTGGGTGAGGCAAGGGTGGGAATGAGGACAGCTCCAGTGGCCATTCTCGCACCAGTCCTTGCCCCCCGCACCTCAGCCACCATATCTCCATCTCCACCATTTCCTCGTTCCACCATCATCTTCCCCATGGTGCCTTTAGATTCTGTGCAGGGAACAAGAAACCCCTCATCCAGACTAAGTGAAATAGGGGAACACACAGAAAGAAATAGCATTTCTCATAGAATGGATTGGCAAGAAATCTGTTCTCCTACCTTCACAAACAGTCATTCACAAGGACAACATTGAAAAAGTTTTGATTTTTTTTTTTGTAGTTGGAGTCTCACTCTGTTGCCCAGATTGGAGTGCAGTGGCATGCTCATGGCCACTGCAGCCTCGACCTGCTGGGTTCAGGTGATCCTTCTGCCTCAGCCTTCCAAGTAGCTGGAACTACAGGCACAAGCCACCACACCTGGCTAATTTTTAAATTTATTGTAAAGATGAGGTCTCGCCAAGTTGGCCAGGCTAGTCTCAAGCCCCTAAGCTCAGGCAATCCTCTCGTCTCTGCTTTCCAAAGCCTTGGGATTACAAGCATGAGCTACTGAGCCCGTCCACGAGATATTTTAATGTCTTCATATGCACCCCATCTCTTATATCACGATTTTTACCATTTTGTCAAGCAAATCAAGATTCATAGCAGTAAAGAATTGGCACCATGCTTCCTGTGTATTATACCTAGCCTTTATTTACAAATTTATGAGTAAAATACACAGTTTAAT